CAATACATTTGTGTTTTCCTTCTGAATAAGTTGTTTTTCCATCCGGGCATTTTGTACAGTTCCATCTCAAATTTTTGTCAAGAGTATCATCCTCACTTGAGGTATTTTTTGAAAAACCAATTTTGCATGGACTGCAATCACTATCCTTCAAGTACTTTCCCTTCTCACAGTGAGCTGAAATGAATCTATTTATAATTTTTTCAAACTTAAAAGGCAAAAAATTATATTTCTTTTAAATGATCCCTTTCCAAAGGGAGACAACCGTTCTTTTTCATTTGGGCAGGGAAACCGAAGGGGGGGGGGGGGGGTATATATCCGTTTTATCGTTACAGTGATAAAATGTCGATGTGCAAGAAACAATTAGCATGAAAGTGAGAATCATTAAAAAATAATCCTCAAAGAGCATTTTCATGCCTCTGATTTCTCTGTCAATGACACTTATCAGTCATTCTACGATAAATGGACCAATTCAGAGTGTAAAACATGAAAAAAATAATTGTTTCAAATAGAAAATTGAACATCATAATTCTCTAAAGAACATATCAGTGAACTTGAAAACAAAGAATTGTCCACAAATCTGGTATCGTTAACTTTTTACAACAATTTCAATATACCATTGATTTTATGGTAATTTTACGGAAGTTAATGCTTGATCAAGCCTTATTATTTTTTTAAATAAAGCTGCGTTTGACCAATTTTTCGTTTCTGATGTTCAGTTAAGAACGCTAAAGTATGATTCATGAAGTCTCGCATGAATCCGAAATTAAATTTTCGAGAAAAATGTCGTTACGGAAGTTAATTCCCAGCAATAAAAGTTAAAATTCTCTTCTATAGTTAAAATCAAAGTTTGTTTTAGGATATTAAACAAAAGTATGAAGCATTTCGCTCCCAAAATAATAAAAAAAAATGTATACCTTTCATGCAAAAACTTTCCTGAATTACCGTTACGGAAGTTAAATTTTTAAGAGAGACAACTGTTTTTGTCTAATTCATTTTGTTATGTCGAAAATGTAATCGTCTAAAATAGCTGACTCACAACTAGAATCGACGATATAAGGTTACGTGGTCACTTTCAGATGAAATTTCAGATTGAATCAGCATTGAAATTTCAGATTAAAATTTTAAAAAAAAATTGTTAGGGAAGTTAACCGATATTAAGCGACATGCTATGATTTAGCATGAAAGGAGATCCATGTATTTCTTTGCGAGAAGTGGTTTGATTTCTCTTTATACAGGATAAAAAACTTTTTTTTAAACATTCATTGCAATCTATTCGAAACCATTTTACGGCTGAAAATTTCATCTTGAAATCTGTAAACAAATGAAGCGACATTAAGATTTGCAATGGAATACGTTTTTCAACATTAGATTACGTTCATATCAAAACTTTAACGGCATATATATATCGGCATATATTTACAAAACCATGGTTAAGTCTTAGAGTTGAAATCGATCTTTCAATTTATAGTTTAGATATTACAACGGTAAATTTGTAAGCGACATAAAAAATTCTCAATTGGTCATGTTTTTGTAGAATGACTGTTATACACTAGCCTTTGTTAAATTAAAGGCATTGATTTCAATGCTACTAACAACTTTGGAACACGCAATTGTTCAAAATATATCAGTATCTATATAAACACTAAAAACTTTTGACTTAGTTTAACAAAATAATACATTTGTAGTTTTACCTTGTTTGTTTTAATCTTGACTGAAAATGTTATACACAAAGCATTCAATTAAATAAATATTTTTTTTTTTTTTATCTTAATTATGTCTAACTTTAGAATAAAATAAATAGTTTGGAGGAATTCACATAGAATAGGAAAATCAGCGCTCTTTACTGGAATAAAGAATAATTAGTGTTATTCCATGGTGCCAGTAAAACATGCAATTTTTTTATTTAAATATCTAGGATTTCCAACGATTTGGCATGAGTATCACTGAAAAGACATAATTTGTCGAAATGCGCATCTGGTGCATGAAAATTGGTACCGTATATGATTTAAATGTAAGCATGACAAAGATTTACAAATGTGTATATTACCTATACAATTGTTTTTGCTTTTGGTCCCTGTGTCGTAAGTTGTCTTCTCATCGGAACATTTTTTACACCAAAACCTGTCAGAAACACTTCGATTCGTTTCGTCTGCTGAGACATCTTTGTAGTACCCAACTGGACAAGGTCTACATTTCTTTGTTTCATTTTCCAACTCCATTCCTTCCTCACAGATAGCTAAAATAAATTGTTTAAAAAATCCTCCGATAAATGGAAGGACATCTTTTGGAATACAAATTCAGTAAATTGAACAAAAAATATGATGTTCGAAATCAGAAGAAGAATAATAATTTGACATGACTGATTGGAATAATAGGAGAAGCCTTTGGAAGCGATTATCGATTATTTCCAGTTTCTATAGTATATATTTATGCAAAGAAAATTATCTTTCTCAATTTTTATATTTAACATGCATATTTATTAACTAATGTGAATATTTCAGATTATCACGCTCTATCAGTTATAAATCATAGCAATTATAGCAATGAACTTTTTTTTTAAAAATTCAGCTTATGTTAAAGTTTCATTATTACAGCTGGAATTCCTCCCTCCTACTTTTACATTTTTTAACAGACGCCCATTGACTAGATTTAAAGTTGGGACTTCATAAAAATATATGAAATAATTAAACAAGGCTATTCGTTACTGTTTTTTACTCTAAGGTATCAAGTTGAAATTTCTTATGGTGAAAATGAGACTATCCTTGTTTTTATAACATGTATACTCTGGGAATTTATTTAAAAAAAAAACGGATATTAAACGTTCAATGATAATTTACATGTACTATATTATCTATAGTCTGCATTTTAAAGAAAAATACGTCTTATTGGCATTTCAAAGATAGCCAGGCTTTAACCATACATACACACTAGTATATCTAGTGGATCAGGGAAAAACACTTTTCATTTGTTATTCATCCTATTATCAGGAAAAGGTAAAAATAACAAATAGTGATCAAATTTTAATTTAAAAAAATGAGGGCAGGGCAATCACGGACCCTAGAAACAGCAGAGGTTGGATCGATTTGAATGCAGGACTAAGCATTTCCCGTCAACTGGTCAATCAGTTACGTGTCTCCTTCGTCTTTATTAGGAGAATATCGTGACAGGCTGTATTCATAAAAATGTTCATTGTAATGACCATATACACGTGCAATATTTTCTTATGTTTGATCAGAAAATTATGTACAATTATATATATTTCATTTAATTTGATCACTTTCGGCAAACCTTGGCTGATTCCGTCACCTTCATCAAACCTCGGCTGTACGAGGAAACTTGATACGCGTCTCCGCTTAACATTTGTGATAAGGCTGCCTGTTTACCGCTCAAGGAAAAAGTAACGCTTTGAAAACGATAATAAACATGCATCTGACATACGATAAAATTTTTCAAAAGCATTAAGGTAACACTAACAATAACGCTTACCAAGATACATGCACCTAGTATCTTTACATAATCACATGATACTTAACGGATCGAATTCAGCACACTGTGCACGTGTAATTATAGGGCGAAGCCATATTGCGTATAAAGTAGCTCCGGTTCAATGGAGGATTATATGATACAGCCGAGGTTAGACGAGGTACGAATCGGCCGAGGTGTGCCGAGTGAATTTGATCATGGGCAAGAATTAAAAAAAAAATTTAACATGACTGATATATCAGAGACATAATTTTTCTGACCAGATATCACAAAAATTCATTCAAACATTCTCACCATAATCAGAACCAGGGACCTATATAGGTCCCTGTCAGAACTAAGTCAGAACTATCACTCGAACATGTTTCTTTCGTAATCAGATTTAATACATTGTAGGTTACTGCAAAGGATTGAAGGGGTAAGATACTCATTTTAATCAGTTCAGTGTACTCAACGGTGATTTATTGAATATCATTAAAGGAATGCAGAACAGGGTGAGTGTTTAAGGTAGTATGGGATATTTCCATGTTATGACGTCACTCCGTTTGAGGTATTGTTTTTATTTGGTTGATTGCTTATTATCGAGTCATACACATAGATACCCCGTTTAAATGAACTATCTGGGGTGTTGCTAAAAGGCGGAATTAGCAACACTCTACGGCATTAGATATTTTCTTTTCCCTTTTCTGCACCCTATGCTTTGCCTTTCTTCAGGGATCTTTATGAAGAAGAGAATGAACATGACTATATCAATTCGTATTTCATAATCAAGGATTCAATAGGAAAAAATATACAATGTATACCGTTTCTGGTATGATTTTTATATTTTAATTCCTTTAACCTGGAATCATATTTTGCCATTTTCCGTTCCGTTTTGCGTTTTAGCAACACACAACTATCTGAAGCCATTTCAATGCAAGTTTTCATAAGTTGGCATGTTATTTAAAATAGACAAAAATTTGCAAGTATGTAACTATCAATATTTGTACTATGGACATTTTAAAAAACAAACCCTTATAAAGATAGTTTAAATATCGCTGCTTTTGAACACTTTTAAGCAAAAACATGTAATTCCATATTGTTTGAGTAATTGTACACCACCTTGTGTGCGGTGACATATGGATAAGTATAATTACCATCATCGATCATGTTAACCTAAATGGTCTTTCTTTATATTTCATTCAAGATGTAACTGTTTGGTCACATATAGCCCTTAAACTTTTAGGTTTTGACTGCAATTGCTCTGAAGGAGACACATCTTGGAAAATGATTGTTCATGCATTGTTTTCAGAACTATCACTGCACTATCAATGCACAAAAGTGCGATTTTTTTTTTTGAAAGTCTGAAAAAAAGTCATACTTTTTGAAATAGCAACCAGGGTATTTCTACCCGTGGAAAGTAAAGAAGGATAACTTCGAATAGGATCTTTTAATTCAAAAATTGTTCAATGCATCAGATATTTTCCATTTATTTATATTTTTTTCAATTTCTATATTTCACTTTGTTAACATGATTAGGTACTAGGGTTGATTCAAAAGTAATGTAACTTTTTTAAAAAAAAATATCTTTAATAATCGAATGTTGTCAACAAAATTTTCCATACTAATTTCCCGATATATTTTGATATTTTCCTTAAAATTTCATTCAGTTATAAAAATACTTTTCAAAATATATTATGATTTACACAACGTCAGGTTTTGTCTATCGCCGCACGGCAAGAATGTTACCTACGTAGTTTTGACATTCATGTCGACACTTATTTTCAGATCATCCGCACATCATATTAAACTTCTCACGCGCTACTTTTTAATAATTTTACTGCCATTTTGCTATGAAGCGTCTTGTTTTGAATTGTTGTTTCAAAGTTATTTAAACGTTGTCCAAATTTGATTTGTAAATTCATTTCTTTTTGCATAGATCTTAGTTAATAATAAACATAAATAAACATAATCCTCCATCGTGTTCATGTTCTTTTTCGCCCTATAACTATAGTCCTGCTGGACACGTTATTACTGGTGACGTAAATATAGTTAATAATGAGGACCTTAGATCACTAATTTTAAAAGGTCCTAAATTTAGGGAACCCAGATCCTTCAACTGGCGTAAGAATTTCATAAATATTGTGGATTCTGTAGAGGACTACGCCAGGCGATGGGCCAGACATGAAAAAGAAGACCTTGACACTTTGTCAGAATGGATTAAATGTATCAGATGTATATTAAAATCGCGCATTAAAAGATTGAGAGGCAATATGAAAACCATCTATCCTTCTGTGTTCAATAATCCAGAAGTGAAAAAAGAATTAGATAGATTACATGATCAGTACGTACTGGTCCCTGCTGACAAAGCAGGTAACAACATTGTTTTTGTTTGTAAGGCTCATTATATTAAATGTATTTTAGAGGAACTTGGATTTAATTCAACAAGTGGTAATCCAACTTATACTCATAGTTCCCTTTCTAAGGAAGAAATTCTTCAAAATCATATGTCAGTTTTGAATATTTTTAATATTCCAAACAACCAAAATGAATTCGAATTACCATATTTATATTGGATTCCGAAACTTCATAAAAATCCTTACAAACAAAGATACATAGCGGGTTCCAGTAAATGTTCAACCAAGCCTCTATCTTTACTCCTCACTAAGATATTAACAGTGGTGAAAGAGAAACTTCAAGAGTATTGTGCAACAATATATTCGAGAAATGGTGTAAATCAGATGTGGATACTTAAAAATTCCAAGGAACTTTTGGAAAATTTGAAATCACAAGATTTTACCAAAATCAACAGCTTAAAAAGTTACGACTTTTCAACTTTATACACAACCATTCCCCACGATAAATTAAAGTCCAGGCTTTTTGATATCATTGACAGCTGCTTTTTCAATAAAAATGGAACTCGTAAATATACTTACCTTGTCATTGGTCATTTGCAAAATTATTTTGTTAAAAAACATTCTGATTGTACACACAAGTACTCTGAAGTTGACATTAAAAAGATGCTTGAGTTTCTGATTGACAATATCTATGTGGTTTTTGGAGACCAGGTCTTCCAACAATCTATTGGAATTTCTATGGGTACCAATTGCGCTCCGTTGTTAGCAGACCTTTTTTTGTATTCATATGAAGCAGAATTTGTCCAAAATCTTGTACGTGAAAAGAAGAAAACACTTGCTGTGGCGTTCAACTCGACATTTAGATATATCGACGACGTATTGTCAATTAACAATGGCTATTTTCATTCTTATGTCGATACGATATATCCTGGTGAACTTGAGATAAAAGATACCACAGAGTCTGACACAACTGTTTCATATTTGGATGTTTTACTTGAAAAAGACGTTAATGGTAATCTAACAACCAAGCTTTATGATAAACGTGATGACTTTAACTTTTCAATCGTCAACTTCCCTTACTTATGCAGCAATATACCTTCATCACCTGCATACGGTGTATATATCTCTCAGTTGATTCGATACGCAAGAGCATGCTCTACGTATGTACAATTTCTAAAACGAGGTAAATTATTGACAAATAAGTTGATGAAACAAGAATATCAGCTGTCTCGTTTAAAGTCATCATTTCGTAAGTTCTATGGTCGATACAATGACCTTGTCAGCAAATACAATTTATCATTGAGTCAAATGCTGGCTGACGTTTTTCATACTAATTGTTAGGCCATTATTTACACACTGAATTGTCGACGGATTTTTCCGTTAATTCCCGATCATGACAAGGAGCACACGGCGGGTGTGACCGGTCGGCAGGGGATGCTCACTCCTCCATGGCACCTGATCCCACCTCTGATGTTTGGAGGTCCGTGTTTGCTCTGCTCCTATTTTGTATTGTATAATGGACTTTTGAGCTTGAATACTGTTCGTTATCTCCATATATTTCATTGCGGATGACCTGAAAATGAGTGCCGAAGGGAAACGTCATAACGACGTCGGTTCATTTCTGCCGTGCGGCGATGGACGATACTCAACGTTGTGTTTATTTGAATATTTTACAAAGTATTGTATTATCTAAATGAAATTTTAAGGCAAAACTCAAAATAGATAGAGGTATTATAAGTATATAAAATTTGTTGATAACAATAGATTATTGAGGATTTTAGCAGTTAGCAGTTTCGACTTGCTTTTGGATCAACGCCCGTACATTCTAATTGTAGATTACTTTACAGTCATATTCGTCTGTTTTCAAGAAATGAAGTTTTTCTAGTTTTTTGATGCTCTTTTATTGAAAATTAAAAAAAATAATGAAACTTTTTTGTCTTTTTTGTATGTATATCAACATTCTATGAGTTAACTCTTGCCTATAATATTAAGCTTTTGAAAAAAGAAATTATGTAAAAAAAAATCATTTTTGTATATTAAATTGATAAAAAATATATTAAAATTACAATTTGGCATACTGAAAGATGTGAGTATTTCAGATTTTTCTAATTTAGGTGAATAAATATGTAGGAGAAATTTCGTCTGGTATCCCACGCCACCTTAAACAGTAATTAACACTTCTCAAACTGACCAATTACCTAACGACCTCAATTCAGAGAGCCTTAATTACCTCAGAAAAAAACATAAATGAACGTAATAAACTATATTTTCAACGTTTTGATATTTTAAAATTGAATTTTAAGGAAACTGTGCTTAATTTTAATGTTTTCTGACTAACCGATTACCATCGTTCCGACCAAGTTACCGGTTAACCGGCTACAAATTGACATCCCTAATATTTCTTGAAGAGACAGCAGCAAAATCAATGCAGCGTTAAATAATTTAAAAATGAGATATTAATCATGGACAGATGTAATAGTAACTATTAAAGGACAATACTCAAAACAATACAAGTATTTCAAATTGTACTGATACTCACGAAAACAATCTGTTTCCGATTTACTTCCATGGCTAAATGTGGTCATATTTACACCACATTTCTCACATTTGTCAATCCGGGACAAATTTTCCCGGTACGTCCCGATTTTGCAGGTTTCACACAAGAAGGTAGAAAGTAGCTCCTTGCCTTCAGGGCATCCTAAGACATCAACACTAATTAAGTTTCATTTTACAAGAAACACATATGCATTAATCAAAAAGCAATATTTTCCCAAGAAGGTATTGTTTTGCTATTCTCTGATACATTAAAAAATGTTTTGCCATATTCTCCGGTGCCTAAGTGTGAGTCCCTATGGTGCCTCAAATACTGTATGCACCGGATGAATGGCAATATATCTTTGAAAAAATTCTACATCACATCAGAAAAAAATGAACAATTGAAAATCATTTAATTCTACAAAAAAAGTCCTTCAAAGTCCTAGGTAAATCTTTAACCCCCCTTCTAATATTGTTGATTTGATGGACACAAGCGTGAATGTTTACTACATTCGGTTACTTGCACATGGGCTTTGACATTTAGTCGATTTGTTTACGGAAATATTTATTTTTAAACTTTGACAGCCTATTATGATCAAATCCCTGATACAAACTATTAATTCAATAAACTGCAATATACATTTGCATGCTTGCAAGGATTACTAAACTATGCAAATTGTTGTTCTTAAGAAGATAAAAAAAAATTATCATGTATTTCAAGAAAGAAAACCCTTGTTCCCCTATTCGGGCAGTATCCCTAAAGACCGACTTTAACAAATGCTAATCTTAGTTAAATAAGGAAGCTTCCATACCAAAAATGTGTTCCTGGAATGATCTTTATAAATTTTTTCTTAAAACTATTATTACGTTCTAAAGTTTTGTTGTTTTTCAGAGAATAATTAACTATAACTTTAATTAACATACTGAACTTTAATACTAATTGTGTGTTTAATCCCCTCTCTGTCTCATGGGAAATGAATCAAACACATTGGAATATAAACAATATACGAGGATGAAATTTGTGGCCTTGTTAAATGAAACGCATTGAAGTGTTAAAATTTTTCGTTTGAACGGAAAGTTTGGGTCTTTCTTATCGAGCGTCAATTGAGACATAATGACACGCCCATTTCTTTAGAAACGAGAAAGAAATATTCGTCGTAATGCTTTAAGACACCCCACTCTCTGCGACTATCAACATGAGTTACACTGAAATGAAGATTTTACGAAGTTAGGAGAGAGAGTTAAGAGACTCACTGCTTCTGTAAAACACGTATTGCAACGAATGTGAATTCATCATGTTTATTGGAATTACCAGAATACATGTATCGGTCGAACACGTGTTTACTCGGTGTTTATGTAGACTGTCAATTTGATTGGCTAAATTTATGGAATATCTGTTAAAAGGTATTCGAATGAACCATTTGACAGATTTTTCTTCTTTCTTAAGAAACTTAAGAAATGAGCGTTTTATTATATGACAACCAACGTTCTAAAGTAAGCTCAAAACGTTCCATTCAAACGGAAAATTTTACCACTTCAATGCGATTCATTGTATCTATATATTCGGTTGATTTTAAAGCTTATCCTTATTATAATTAATTTTGTGTATATGTGTATGTTCCTTTATTATGTAAAACAACTGGCACCTTATATTAGCTTAGATTAATACATTAGTCAAATAAAAAAACTCTTCTTAATTTGAAATATGAATAGGACCACGTAGTTTACTATCTAGCATCGGCTAAAGGGTCGAGAGCGCGATGATGCGATGATGTTGGCGCAAGGACGCGAGAGCGCGATGACAATGATGCGACAATGCGACGAAGATGGTACGAAAGGAGAGATAGTGAGCATCGTTTTATCGTAATCGTAGTTTTGCGCTATCATCACCGCATTGTCGCGCATCGCTTTATCGTTATTATTGCCACATATCGCAATTTACCCGACCATCGATAGTGCGATGGTGAACCACGTGGCCCTATCCGGATTCCATATTTAACACCAACAAACCTTTACAATCTTCGTTCAGTGATCCGTCTAAATCATAGTCCACAAGCCTCTTGTCTGTAGATGAAAGCAAAATTCGTTAAAAATATATGCATAACTAGACAAACTCATTCCAAAGCAACAAGTAGGACCTTTGTCCAATTTTCAAGGAGATGTGATCGAGATAGAGAGACATCATTTTAAATTACGGCAATCGATTAGATGTCGGACGTTTTCATTAACATTTGTCTTTGAAATCTACGATAATATAAGCGAAAAATGACTACTTCCGATATGACTGACATTGACGTCATTTGACGACCTTTTGTGATCACTTAAGCTGCTACTTGTTCTTCTGAAGATCTTTGCTTCTAGGATGGTTTACGAATTCTCAATACTTTTTGAGATATCAAGAAAAAATAAAAACTTTTGGTACCTCTAAATCCAAATTTTAGGACCAACCGCTATTTGTTAATATCATATGAGAGACCGTGTCATTCTGCTCAACTTTTCTTCTTTATGTTTTAGCCAAAAATTTACAGGTAAAAAGATATTGTAAAAAAAGTCTTAGAAATTTTGAAATTCTCGATGACTTTTTTTTTTTGGGGGGGGGGGGGGGGGGCATAGCGAGCCTCCACGTTTCGTTCTTCCGGTGGTAATGAAATACCGTAATAAACAGTGCAACATTTAACGCCGGACACGACATTGTCCGGATGTTTTACTACCATTTCTAATTAAGATGTCCAAAAATATTTATAGCACTTGGTGGGGTTTCTTAGCAGTATCACGTACTCTCTGTTATAACTCACAAATATCTCTAGTTTAAAAAAATATTAAGTCCTAAATATCAGAATCCCATGGGATAATGTTGGGATTTTTAGCCCTTACAACTATCCCACCTTTCTTCCATGGGAGAAAAAGTATCAGATGGGATATTTTCTCCCATAAGGATATTTTCTCCCACGAATTTGTTCAAATGGGATAAATCCCACGAATGCTGATCAGTAGGACATTTTCTCCCATTCATTGTCAAACATGGGATAAATCCCATAGATTTTGATATGTGGGACATTTAATCCCATAAATATTCAAATATGAGATAAATCCCACATGTAAGTCATGTCACTGACCAATACTGCATCCCAAGAGTATTATCAAAATAATAGATATACATATATAATACAATGTGATTTCTAGTCCTCATTTAATGCAGGACCAAAAAATCTACAGATATTCACTTACAGATGACAGGTTAATACATATCTTCATTTAAAACAAAAAATGATATTGAATTAGATATGATATCTAGGATGATCAGAATGTAATTATTTCGTTTTGAGATTCATTAAGGAATATCTCAGTTAAACATGCTTTTTCTTATCAGTGCACTAGTTGTAAAGCAATATAAAATTAATATCCTAATTTTCATGTCTTTCATTATTATGATATATATTTTAGAATCATTGTAGCAAAAAGTCTTAGAAATTTTGAATTCTCGATGACTTTTTTTTTGGGGGGGGGGGGATAGCGAGCCTCCACGTTTCGTACTTCCGGTGGTAATGAAATAACGTAATTATATACTATATTGAATGCTTTTTAAAAAAAAAAAACGTTCGGACAAAATGACCCTCCAAAAATCACATAATCGCGGAAATCTTCACACCGGAAGTGACCTAATCAAAATAAAAAAATATCTAAGTCTTGATTTTTTAATGTTCCATCATTCCTCAAAGTTTTATGCAAATCAAGCCATTTCCGAGAACTAGTGTGCACAAAATCGGTAAGAAAGAAAACAACAACAATAAATATAGTTGAAAAGAAACCTAAGGATAACAAGGTCTTCCAGAAGACCTTAAATACAGGTTTTAAATAAAAACTTGAAAGGATGACTTTAACTATTGAGTGTTTTATATCCAGAGTATCTTATTATTAACTGGATATATAGGAATCTACCTTGATTTAATTCTCACCGTTCCAAAGAAAGCCACAATATTCTTCATCTACTAGACCGTCTCCATCATTGTCTTGACCATCTCCTGGGATTTGGTAGGAAGTTAAAGGCTGCAAAATATAATGGTAAACTCTGATACAGCTTGAAAGAAAACTGTACAACACAGAAAAATTTTGAGTTATAGAATCTTCTAAAAAAAATAACATCTCTAGATTTGTTTTGCCTAAAGTTTACTCGGCACAGTTGATAATCTGCCTTATAGAATTGTTCATCCAGATCCAATTACCGGCATGTTTCTAGCCAATATAGCTTTGAAAATTCTTGAAGACTAGGATTTTAATTTCTTTAGGTAAATGTAATTGAAATAGGAATTTATCGCTATTAGTTAATTTTCACAAACCTTTCCCGTGTTCAAGTTATTCATAAATAGATCTATGCGATGCACTGAAATACATGTAGTATAAAGGCCTCTCACATATATATAATCTCCAAGCCCATATTTTGATTTTACTTTATACTGACCAATCAGATGGTATAAAAAAAAAATGACACGTCTAATAATAAAAAGAAACTGATAGTCAAATAATTCCTGACTTGGACTAATTAAACCAGTTTCTAAATAAAGTAAGTAAACGTTAACAGTTAAGGTTTTGCAAAGTATAACTCTTGTAGATGTGGTCTTCAGTCTTCAACAGATTGTCAGTGGTGATTTATGTGTATTTAAAAAATAATTGTCTCCAGTTGAACATGTTTTTGAAAAAAAAGTTTTTACTTTGAAAATGTTAAAGTATACCATTTAAACATGCTGGCTGAATTCTTCCATCGGAGATAAACGAAAAAAATGACAATACAAGAGGCTGTTTGAGGAAAATTACAGGAAATTTAAGTGTTTAGAAATAACATTATCAAATTTATTTATTTTTTTCTTTGGAAAAAAAATATTTAGAAGAGGAATGTATCCTTAAGTCCTGCAGGTACCATTTGAAAATGCACACATATTCTCTTAGATCGAATAACTTGTTTATACTTACGTATATTCTCTTGGTGATTATAAGATTTGACATTTCAGACTCCATCTGGTCCAAGCTTCTATATACGTCAGTACTTTGGGCTGGTGCGACATGTACATAATCATACCTATTTGAATAGGACTCATCTTGGTTTTCTCGTTTGAATGATGCCATAACGATTATAGGCTTGTTAGAAATTATTTTGAGTTTAAGACTTGTAGTGTTTTCCCAGCTAAAATTTTTAATCTCGCCACCTTTTTCTATTAGAACATGTTCACTGTACACTTTCTCACGATTATTTTGATCTATACGAGTCAATTTCAAGTTCAAAACGGTGTTATCATCCGTTGATATCAGCACCAATTTTTCTTCAGATAGAATGTCTGATGATTTTAAGTTGTATCGCGTTCCTGACACTGGAAGGAGCTGATTTACTAGGTACTGTTCAGAGGTAGTGGTCCCATATTTGATAAAGCACAGGACTGAAATAATATGACTTGACGTAATGAATGTTCCATTGTATGTCATGTCTCTGATTGGTTGATGTCTGTTTTTATTAAGTGGCCATGGTTGCTCCCGTTCAGGGATAGTGAAGTATGTGTTATTAAATATTCCAGCTACAAGGCATTCTTTCTGAGAGACGGTTTCCGGGAGTGCAGTAAATGGAATTGTAGCAAAATACTCATGTTGTAAAATGTCCACCGGAGGCACGATAAACTTATTGGAGCATTTTGTGTTCGAATTACATTGGTATTGGCATGATAATAAAATTCTTTTATCTGATTTAACAATCAAAGGATAATCAGCAGCAACTGTTACGTCAAAAACATTTCTGTTTTTAGTTAGAGTCACTGCCTTCCATTTTACGGTTTTATCCATTGAGTAGCTGATTATTACTTCATTGCCATCATAACCACTGATAAAACATGTTAAATTTCCACTTATTTGAATAACTGGGATAACAAACAGAGTCCCAAACATATCTGGCTTGTCTAAAGAATAAGAATAATTGTCTTAATTAATTTTATATTCACCATTATGCTAAAATCGTCATTATATATGTTCTGAAGGGAAGGTTAAACAACGGTTAATTTCTTTAAATTTTTCGAGACATAAGACTATTGGGAATTTAAAAACAAAATGTTTGAAGGAGAAAATAAAAATAAACTGCTTAAAAGACACATTTCGCAGTGACATTTTCTTCCAATGTAATGTAACGTTGATGTTACTGAGGTTAAAAAAATATCATATATACCTTGACTATAAATGCCTGATCAGTCAACATTTTTTTCCCTCGGTGCTAAGAACTGTTGAATTTGTTTTTATTACCCTCGAGTAGTAGAACATACTGAGCTGTTCCCAACACCTCAGGAAAAATAATCTTATCTAATGACTGATCAGACATTAAACAATTGTATAAAAACTCAACTTTGAACAACACATTATATTAATTAAACCTTACCGGGTTTGGACTGTGCCTTGCAATCTTCGACTCCTAAAGTCAAACTACATGTATTAGTTTAATTTCTTATATCCTATAAAACAAGATGTGTTTGTGAAACACTGATGCCCCCGTATGGCAACTTATAGCAAAGGGTCAACTTTCTCAAATGCAAATCAAATATGTTGTTACACACAATAAGGTTTTGATTCGAGAAATATACCTGTGAAATATGAAAGCCATAGCAAACAACCATTGAATAGATATGGAAAAGGTTAAAGTTTTCCGTAAGTAAGTCAAACATCAAGGTCAAGGTGAAATGGTCAAAATTAATGGTGCCCAAGGAGAAGCCTTCTCCCAAGGAATAGACATGTGAAATATGACAGCCCTAGCACCAACCGTTCAAAAGTAATGGCCAAGGTTAAAGTTTTTCAAAAGTAAGTCAAACTCCTAGGTCAAGGTCAAAGGGTCAAAGATGATGGTATCCAAAGGAAGGTCATGTCACAAGAATTGCATATTTGAAGAATGAAAGCCCTAGCACCAATTGTTCAAAAGTTATGGCATAGCTTAAAGTTAGGTTAAATTTTTCAAAACTAGTTCAAACTCCAAGGTCAAGGTCAGAAGGTCAAATATGATAGTACCCAAAAAAGGTCTTGTCACAAGAAATACCCATGTGAAATATGAAAGCCATAGCTCCAACCAATCAAAAGTTATGGACAATGTAAAAGTTTTTGCGTATAGACAAACAGACAGGCAGACATACGGACGGATAGGGCAAAAACTATATACCCCCTCCCCCAATCTTCGATACGGGGGCATAAAAAATAATTCCAGATTGATTATCATTGCATTGCAACTAGAGTTAGACTTTGTACAAGTATTTAAGGTTTTCTATCTCTAATAGGACTACTTATCTATCCTTAAATATCCATCACATATATTATACTCTGATATTAATTTTATACAATTATGGACTCTTCGCCTCTGTCAATATTGATATTTTTCTGGTGAATAACAAACCATATTCACCACCGAAAGAGTCCATGATTGTTTTATTATATAGTACCGATTTGAATAAATAAGACATTGAAGGCTGCATGATGGCGCCATTTTCATTTACGAATTTCTGTCGTTGAAAAAGAAAAGATTACAAGATGTAACTTCCGTATTTAGGTCAGTCGCGACCGAGATTCCAACTCACGACCTCCCAATCATGGAGCGAATTAAATAGTGATCTTATTGAAGTAAATAGTGATCTTGCTGAAAATAAACAAATTCACAAAAGCACAGACAGACAGAAGCTTCTCTCCTTTATACCTTTGCTTATTACCGATAGAACTTTACTGTTTCTTTGTTATATCCTTATGTAATTGAGTCATATTTATAAACTCTCCATGCCCAACTGTGGAAAAATGTTTTCCTTCGGATTGGAATTTCGCACTTCCAATGCTTTAAACACACACGTGACGGATATTTTCTGGCAATATGTCCGACGCTTTGCGTTTACACTTCGATATTAAAATCATTTATTACGAAACCATTTTCAATAATGTTTTCATTTTGAAATTAGAGTAGCAATGCTCTTAATGAATGACGTCAGATTTGTTGCGACTGCGTCATAACAGATGGTAACGTCGAGAATCGCCCAAACAAGAGAGGAAAAACGTTTAGAATTAAACATAAACAAAGATTTTTCAAGATTACTTGACGGAATATATATATATACCGTTGTATACATTTTTGTAATGTAAAGCTTCTGAAGATTTTTAATGAAAGCGCTAAAGCTTTACGGAGGATTCTTGTGTTTTCTTTTTATATTTGTTTAATATATATATATATATATATATATATATATATATATATATATATATATATATATATATATATATATATATAGCTGTTTTACTGTGTCGGCCCCGACACAGTAAAATTTTCCCCGACACAGTAACAATTCAAATTTTATGCGTGCGACACAGTAAAAAATTTGCGACACAGTAAGATCTGTGATAATCAGGAAATCAGAACATAAATTCTCTTTAACTGAAACTTGAATCAAACAAATCTACCGTCTTTCAAGTTTTAAGCAGAGCACTTAATTATCTCTTAATTATGGCACTTTGTCTTGCTTCACCTGGCATAATCAGCTATCTCCTAGATACTCGCTGGACTTTACGCATGAAGGAACAAAGACAAATAATTTGTTTTCACACTTCCATGTAACCGTATAACTCCTAGTTGCATTTTTAAATATTATTTAAAAATTAAAAATTTATTATAAATGTATGTCTTTATACTTCAGAACCACGTCTCTAGAATTAAGTTTAGACTGTCTCATGCGGTTTGATGTTTGAAGTTGCGGATCAAAGTTTAAAGTTTAAAATTATACCCTGAAGGGTATGTTTTCCTATCTCAACAAATCAGTTGAGGGTTCAGTGAGTTGTTTTCAAATTATTACATATAATTTAATTCATTTTGCAAACTCTGTAAACATGGTGTATTTTCTAAGGTATTTAAGTGAAGAACGTGCATGTTCTTGAGCTTTAGGAGTTCCATGTAACATTTGTAAGAAATCATGAACAAGAATTCTGTATGTGTCCTTTTGTAATTAGATGTAGATTTGATGAAAGACATGACTGTGAGTAAACTTTTTTTTACATAACTGGGAGGGATATCATTCTAGCTGCAGTATGAATCACACAGTATAAAATCCTAAAAAAATTGATCATTTAAAAAAGAAACCTTTTCTTATATTATTTCATTTTAATTCTTGGCCAAAGTAAATGTCAGAGAGAAAGAAAAGTTGAGAGATTGATTGATTGATTGCATGTTGTTTTACGTCCCATTCGAGAATGTTTCACTCATATAGAGACGTCACCATATACCGGTGAAGGGCTTCAAATTTTGACCTTTACTCGGCACTCAGGGCCATTGAGCAGGGAGGGATCTTTATCGTGCCAACGCTCATAAGGTCTCATCCGAAGGACCCGCAACTTTCACTTCAAAGTGCCGAGCGCATGGCGAAGGAACAGTTGCTACCAATTTTTTATCGGCTTAGGTCAGTCGCGGCCGAGATTCGAACTCACGACCTCCCGATCACGAAGGAGCGCTCTACCGACTGAGCTACCGTGAACGGTAAAAGTTGAGAGAGAAAATACCCCAGGTTTATAGACTTATGCAAAACTAAAAACTTATGATTGCAAGTGCTCGGAAAGAGTTACAATATTTAAAAAGCAATTTTAATGCATTGTGTTCAAAATAGCTCAAAACTGAAAATTCATACCATATCACCATATATAGTATGACTTTCATTCATGATGGAAAAAAAGCATATTTTAGAAAACAGTATGATTATAAATAGCTAATCAAGGTGTTTTGAATAGCAAAATCAAGCCAAATATAAAGGAGCGTGCATTCAGAGGCAAACACTATAGTGTGGGTATAACTGTCTTTTGACAGTATCTAGTAATTGTATTTTATTAATATAACAATGACCTGATCCGAAGTGCAATATCACGTCGAGTTGAGCGGCTCGGATCATCAGATCAAACGATACGAGAAGCGAAGGATTTTAGCCAAGGGGAGAGAAAATGTACTATAAAGATGGATTTTTTTATACAGACCTGTTTTAACATAAGCCTTTTCCAGTGGGTATTCTGTGGATGAAGTATGATCTAGATTTGGCAAAGCGGAAACTATATATCCTGGAAATTAATATATATATATCGGACAGACGGATCCTTAAAGAATGTCTGCTGAGTGGGGCCCTACCAATATATTATCGTTAAATAGTCTACGGATGTACTGTCCGTAAATAACTGTGATCAGAGCTTCGTAGTTTAATTTATTTAGAGAAGACCAAGGGCACCATTACTTTCTCATTTAATGGTACAATGATGCGCATTAATCTGGCCCCATGACCATGAACTGAGAACAGACTTAAGTCAAAATTTTGATTTTGAATATCTTGAGTTCTAATTAACATATGTGCATGGAAACTTGCAGGTTTGTTTAATTCACAAATTCATACACATGTTGAAAATTTTGTTTAATTATCAACATTATTTTAAAAATTATATTGATTTGAAATTTTGACTTAAGTCTGTTCTCAGTTTATGGTCTTAGGGCCTGGTTTTTTTTTTTTTTTTTTTTTTTTTTTTTTGAATGGAACGTTTGGGTCCTTCTTATTGAATGTCAATTGATACAAAATGGAACGCCCATTTCTTTGAATTCAGAAACAAATATTTGTTGCAATGTTTTAAGACACCCCACTCTTTCAGACTAGCAAGGTGGGTTTTGCTGAAATGGGGACTTGATGAAGTCGGGAGAAAGAGTGAGAGAGACTCTTCGTTTCTGTAAAACTAAGGTATTGCAACAAATATGTACATAATTACATGTATGTTTTTGTGTCATGTCTATTGAAGTTATCACAACTTGTGTATCGATCGAACACGTATTTATCCGGTGTTAATTAGTTTATGAAGACTGCTAAACTGATTGACTATTGTATTTATAGAAGACCTGTTCTACAGATATTCGAATGAAGCATGTGAG